TTTTTTTTTTTTTTTCTTAGGTGGTGTCGCTGTGGGCTACACCATCTTTTTTGGTCCAGAAGTTGTGATGGATCAGCCCATAGCGACACTTGTTTGGCTCATTCCAGCGCCAAAAAAAAAAAAACCACGTGGCAGGGGTGTCGCTGTGGGCCACCGCGATTATGTACCAATAACATAATTAAAAAAATTAACTAATTTTTTAAAGCAAGTTAATTTAGTTGAAAAAATATTATCTATAATTTATATTATATACAAAGATGATAATATGATTTGATATACATATTTTTAGATGATTTTATTTTTAAATTTTTAAATAATATTAAAAATTAATTATTCTTATATTGAATCTAAAATCTTAAAATATGAGAATTAAAAACAATATAAGAGTAAAAAAACTTTTAATTTAATTATTAAATTTACAAAATTTACATTTAATAAAAAATTATTAAACGATATAATACTTAATAAAAATTACACTAATATTATCATCACCTTATATATATATAATGTTAAATAAATAAATATTATGTATTAAGTGAAGAAGATATATGTTTAATACATAATTTAAAAATATTAAATACATGACATTAAAGTGAGTTGGGACTATTGAAGAATAAACCAAACTCATAAAAAATCTCTATGGATCGAGTAAGTCAATGAGACGGATTGTGGGTCATGCTCTCGATAAAATAAGTAAATAACTCATGCAGGTAGTTTTTAATAATTTAATTTCTTAAACAAAACATAAATTTTATGTAAATTATATTTTTGTTTTTTTTTAATTTATATTAGTCATTTATTTATTAAAATATTTATTTTTATTCTTCATATTTAACATTTAGGTCATTTGATCACTTAAAAATATTAATATATATTTTTAATTTTACTACATAATTTTAAATATATTTTTTACTGATTTCATGATATGAAATTTTTAGTATTAAATTTAATTGTATATACATTTGAATATAAAAGATTAAAAACATAATAAAAATTATGTGAAAAATATGTCTCATAGGCCATTAAAAATAGTACAAAATTATATTTAGAAAACAATTTTTTTAGACTTATTTTTATATAATTTTCATTATATTTAAAACACTTATTATTTGAATTTTAGCTGCTTCAATAATTTTTATGTAAATAAACCTAATGAAATAACTTCCAAATCTTGAATTAGTAAAAAAGATATAAAAAATTATATTTTAAAATTCAAATAATCATTATTTTAAAAAGTAAATTGGTTCAAATTTAAAAAATAAATGATTAACATAAATATTTTAAGAGATAAAAAAAGCTAAAATAAAATAAATTCAAAAGTATAATTTAACTTAAATTTCAAGGGATGTGAAATGGAAATCAGAATAAGGTCCGGTGAGAACGAGTAAAAACGAAGGGGGAAAAGTTGAAAGCGGATGCAATGATTTAACCCCACTTCCACCTACAGATTGTGGGTGCTTAACAAAGTAAAAAAATCACTTTATTTATTTTTCTTTTAACTTAAAAAGTATGAAATAACATTAACGATGTTAAATTATATTTGTAGCTTTTTTTATGTTATTTATTAGATTTATTTTGATCTATTTTATAAATATTTATCTTAAGATTTTCTCTCTTAAATTTAGACTAATTTAATTATTTTAAAATAATAATTATTTTAATTTAAATATAAAAAATAAATGATCAAAATAAATATTTTAATGGATAAAAACTTAAAATAAATATAAAAAAGTAAGATAAAAGATTAAAATATAATTTAACTTATTAATAATAATTTTTTAATCATTTAATTATAAAATATTTTAATAAATAACATAGACATATTATTTAATATAAATTTACCTATGGTTAAATATTGGATAATGTTGTTAGCCCAATGGTGATAATGTCCGTGTAGCCGATTATGAGAGGAAGCATCACGAGACAAAGACAAAAAGAAATAATAGTAATAATATGTATCGTAATGATAAAGACAAAATGGACGATTGAGAGGTAAATTGAAACGATAAGATCGACAAGGTAAAGGGTAAGGGACTGACTATTCATATGAAAGTCAAGTATTGGAATTGATATCATATGCTCATCATGTCCTCCATCCTAGTAGCTATTGACGTGAATATGGTTACCACTTACCACACTATTTAAGATTTTTTTTTTTTTTTTTTATAACATAGTTCAATGTTTTTAAACTATTATTTTTTTAATTGTATTTTAATTTTTTTTAACTGATATTTTAACTCGTACAAGTTACAACGTACATGATAGTTTTTTATATAACAAAATTTATAATAAATAAATGCACTTTTATATTAAAAGTATATTATAATTAAATTTGTAATAAATAAATATATTGACTATACAAATTATATTTTAAGTTTAAAATAGATAAATTATGTTGCAATATAAAATTATTTTTAATTATTCATAATTTCTCTTAAACGAGCTAAAATTTAATTCAGAAAAAAATTTAAAAAATAAAATTATAAAAGGAAAATAACTAAAATACTTATTTTGAAAAATAGTCTTTAAAAATATTTTTGTTCCATATACTTAATTTATATAGAAGAAATTAATATTGATAACTTATTTTAGAATGTTATTAAATTAAATTTAAAAATAAAAATTATATATATCATTTCATCAATAAATGAAAATGATATTTGTTAAAAATAAAAAAAGTAATAAAAAACCTAAAAAGCAATCATTAAAAAAAAATAACTAAATTATTTTTATTATAAACTTGTACTAAGTATGACAAGTATGAATAGTAGACGGTAGACCCTTATCATCCGTCTTTTATGATGCATGTAGTTTATTATTATTATTATTTATATATATTCATAATATCTATAGGTATTTTTCAAATGGATTAAAATTTTTTTATTAAGACAAAAATATAATCTTTAAAATTTTCACCGAAGAATATTAAAAAAAACACACAATTTTATGACAAAAAATCATAATATCTAAACTTTATAAATTTTAATTGTCGTTTACACATTTTTATATTTTAAAAATGATGTGTAAAATTTTTATTGTCAATACTATAAAAAAAAATTATCTTTCTTTACGTATGTAACAAGCTATTTCTGTCTTATTATTATTTTTTGGCTTAATTGGATTTTTTATTTTTCAAGTATTGCAGTTGTGCAATTTTGATCTCTAAGGTTTAATTTGAGTAATTTTAGTCTCTAAAAGATTGTAATTGTGTAATTTTAGTTCTTCAATTTTTAATTAAACAATTTTAGTTACTCAAATATCATAATTGTGCGATTTTAATCTCTCATATTAAAAATTTAATAATTTTAAAATTTTAATATATATATATATATATATATAT